TGTATTTCTCTGGTCATGTCGTCGAGTCTCTTATTATTTGTCTCCATAAGCAGTTGCACAAAACCTTTGAAGTTATCTTGTTGTTGGTTCAACAGTGCGGTGCACATCTGCTTCTGCTGACTCAACATCTATGTTACTTGCACCGCTGAAATATAATCCTCTTCTGCTTCAACATCCTCGTTCGCTTCTGATTTATTAGCTCTTTTCCCTCTTGGAGGCATTTTAATAGTTGTAGAATTTGTTCAAAGACTTGAAAATGTAGAAGATGTGAAAAATCGTAGAACAGACAAGAGGAGCAGTAAAGACGTCTGTTTAGTCATGTTGCCAGTATAACAGTGTACTCTGGACTTATTTTCTTACGTAAACTATGGCTCAGGTTTGGATGGCACTGATTGAAAATACCTGATGCTGCACTTGTTCTGTATAACATGCATCAGTGTCAACAGTACAAAGTTTCACATTACTGTATGTGGGAGAATGAAAAAGATTGGACAGATTCACATTTACTGTTTTACAGTAATGTCAGTGTGATACAGAAGAGAAAGTGTTTTACAGCACTGTATAGTACCAAGAAAAAAATACAACATAAGAAATGTAAACACAGCAAACAGCCCTGAACATTCAGCTGCCTTTGACCAGCTTTGACCATTGAATGGCCATGACTGACAACATGGTCCACAAGTGTGGCCCTTATTTCATCTGAAACATGTTTATGACCTTGGCCTCTTCCCCTCTTCCTCTGTTTTGCCCCCCTATTCTTCCACCACACAGACCTACTCCTCTTCTTCTTCTACTCAGCAGTTGATGCTATTCATTTCCTTGTTCTGCCATTGTCAGAAACTGCAACACTGTGCTGTGCTCTGTCTATATATACTTGCCAGTTGAAGGTTGATGAGATGCTCCTCTGAGCTATTTTACAGTAGAGAACTGGTTGATCATTGGTTGATCTCTCACACATCCCCCTTCATTAGTGAAAGTCAAGATTCACCTGAGAGCAGTTCAACAGTTCAGACAATGTGGCAAAATAAATAAATATGTCAAACAGAGCTGTACGGAAATATGCTTGACAGATACTAAAGACTAATTCACCCAATTTGCATAGTTGTTTTGGGAGATCAGACTATTCAGCAAAGAACCATATAATACATTCTAATCAACATAAGTGACTGATAAGTGACAAGTGACTGGATGACGTGGAAGTTGAACAAATAGTTTTGAGTATTTCATTTCTGATCCAAGAAATGTATGAAAGTGACTGAGAAAAATCTGTAATTAGACTGAATCAGTCTAATGGGTACAAATCATATAACCAAATAATAGTAATAATAGTAATAAACATTGCTGGAAAGAATGTGTAAATAAACATATGTTGTGGGCTAGCAGGTATTAAAGCCATGGATTTATTTTTTTGCACATAAAAATACAGTATGTACTTAAAATATATATTTCTTTGTCTTTCTTTAGTCTTTAGTGAACTGAAATGTTTTGCCACAAGATGGACCCATGCACCAACAATAAACACTGAAACAACTGTGGAGTAAGGAGAGGTAGTGTTTGCCTTATATTACTGGTGCGATGGCGCCCTCTAGTGGTAAATACTAGGAAAATCATACAGGGCAATATACCGTATGGACAACAATACACTGAAACTCTTAACCTCAGTGGTTAAGGTTGAACTACAAAAACATATTAATAAATCATATTAAGACTGCTGAGACTTTATTCAACAACACAATGACAAGTGTAATGTCTGACATATCTGGGAGGTCAAGATGCTCAGCTGCACCTGAGCAGCTCCTTTTGTCCACAGGATATTGCTTTTTTAATGTTTGATTTAACAGTAGGATGTGAGTTTTGTCCTGATACAGTTGTTCAGTTACACTGAAAACTGTCTGTGTGTGTGTGTATTAGTGAATGAACAGAATATGGCTTTATATTCCAGGCTAACATCTGAATTAAAGTGTAAAATAAAACATTTGATTAAACTTTTGCCTCATTACAGATGATCATTTTTCACTATTTGTGTCATTGATGCTACTTTGCCATGAAGTATTGTAATTTACAATTTTAACTGTGTAAACTGTAACTTGTTACATTTAATCACTTTTTGATTACTTTTCTAAAAAGTCCTAACATAAATGTAAACCAGGCAGTGTAAACCTCACAGCAGTACTCGACACTTATTACTGTCAAACCTTTATTAAAGGTTCTTCAACATAACTCCATCATATATTACTGTTGAAACATGCAGCCAACTGAACGGGCACCAAGCAAAAACCTTTTCTGAACTTCCAGCACTGAAAAGCGCTCCTGTCCGACAACATGACCACCCACCTCGGTTGCAGCCCGACCGCTTAGAGCTATTTTATTTGGCTTTCTCTGCATGTTGTGTGTAAACACTGTGTACACAGTTCCAGTGTGTTTTTACCTTGCACTGATGCAAATAGTAAATAAAGTCACTTGACTTTGAGTTGAGAAAGAAACTTGTGTTACTGTGAGGATGTGACATTCAAAGTTGGTGTTCATGATGTTGGTGATTTTCTGCCTATTTGTAGCTGCAGTATCATGACCCATAAAAAAACACCACCAAACCACACAATAAGGATACGTGACATGCCTTTATTAGGATCAATATTTACAGCTAGTCTGTTATTTTACAGATTCAGAACTACTTGGTAGTGTTGGCAAAGCAATGGCAGCGGAAAGGGTCAATGCCGATCACTGATCCACTGGTGCTGGCAGGTCCTGGTACTTGGTGATCTCTGGATGGTAGTGTCTGATCTCAGGTTGTTCCACGTTGAGCTCAGCATACTCTACTGATCCCTGCTAACACACAAAGCACGGCCCTTTAACATTGTCCCAGGTGATTCCAACCCTTCTACAGTGGCACACAATGGTGTTGCTTAGTACAAGGATTATAAGGAATTCTGTCAGAATATTTAAACCACTGCAAGACACAAAACAAGAATAAAAAGCCTATGTTTGTGGTTACTGGCAATGCAGACACTATGCAATGTAACTGCCCCTGCCTAAGCTCAAATCTGATTTTAAGGTGTGTTTTCATCCATCTCCCTAATCACCTCAGTGACCCCCACCCTTCTGTAAAACCTGCACACTACAAATGGAAATAATATCAAATAATACAAATTGCAAATGTGTGGTCTAGAGGAGTGGACAAATCATAACAAGGCTAAGGTCAGACCAAACCACGTAATCTGTCATCAAGAAGGTGCACTGATGAAACAATCAACTGTTCTTAGGTGGTGATGTCACATCCTTGGCTAATTTTTTCAAATTCCTCTCTTTAGCTGCCTTGAACACCATATAGGGACAAACTGCAGGCGGGAAGGGTGGAGATTAAGTCATGTCAGGGGACACTATGCAGGCTGTGATGGGCTTTGAGGCAATTTGACTGGGCCACAGTGCTGATCTGATTGGGTGATAGGGAAGGAAGCTCAGTCCCAAAGGCCTTTGTTGTTGTCTGGAAACTTTGATGGTAGCTTCCCTCTCGCTCTGGATTATCAGCCTGTAGAGGGTCACTGTGACTAGGAGGCAGCCAGTGTAGGAACTCCAGGAGGGTTTCAGTAATTTAGTATACAAGTAGCACACATAAGTAATGTAACTGTAAAAAAAAATAGATATTGTTCAAGTGGAGTTTACATATGTCTGATATCTGTGGCTACAATCGTCAGTAAATGGAGTCTGGTTAAAAAGCATGCCATATTATAGACTAGTCCTTTTAAAGTCTACAAACAAGTCCTGTGGCCATGTAAAATGTAAAACCCAAACCAGAGAAATCATTTCTGTTAAAAAAAAAACAATTTCATAACCATAATAAGAAACCACATTGATCTTTTTTTTTTTTGGCTGCATTATAGTCGTAACAGGGGTGAATGGAGGCCTTAAAACACTTCACAAAATACTAATAAACTGTACATGTCATTATAATGAACTTTTTAATCAGTGTGAATGGAGTCTACAGTTTATGAAGGCTACTAAACAATGGGCTTCTCAGACTCTTATCCTGTTCATATCATCATCATGAACTTATACACAGTTGACCGGTTAGCAATTCAGAGCATTTTAAAATATGAATGGAGTTTCCACTGTGTTCAGGCACAGTAACAATTGGGCTTCCATAAACATTATAACTCATAACAACTCATAAACTGTACATATTATTATAACAAGTGCATGTAAAGTTGATTAGTGTGTAATACTAGGCACTTCAAAATCTGACTATACAAAATGGCTGGGATATAAAATACAATGAACCTCTGTTGGATTGTTTTTAAAAGATGAATTATTAAAAAATGTATTAATAAGAAAAGCCATAGCAAACATAACTACAAAGACTACTACAGTTTGTTATATGAATTGTTTGGGTGGCATTAAACTATGAGAGTATGAAAGTCAATCCTTGTAAGGATTGTAAGAAGTTAAATAGGTGAACTTGCAATTTTATTTTGAAAATGCATTAAATTATACATAGATATTATGCATTTATATACAGTATATGACCAATCTACTGTATGTAGTGGAAATGGTTACAGGCAAGCAAAAATATATAATAACAATATTAAAGAGTGAGAAGTGTTATGCAATTAAATACTCACATAGTCATGCTGGTCAGCTGCACCTAAGGGAGAATCATCACAAATTAACTGGGTGTTGGTTGGGTGTGTATCTTGCTCACTCACTGACTGACCTCAGAGCTGTTCACTAGTCATCTGACAGTTAGGGCAGCATAGCTGACCTTGCTGACTCACTTGTTCCTCCTCCGCAGAGGCCTTTGACTCAGCCATAGACTGTGCTGTATGGTTTCAGCATCTGAATCAAGATTTAGAATGAGGTTTCTCACTTGCAGAGGCTTCTCTCGAAAACTCAGGGGGCTTTTCTCCCTGAACAGGAAATATTAAGACTCTGATGAACAGCTTAATGGACACATCCAGCATCTGGTTGCTGTTCTAAAAACAGGAAGCTCCTGTCAGCAATAACAGGATGTGATCACGGTTCTGTAGCTGGTCTGGATAACCCGTCCTTCCATCGGTACAAGTCCTCACTTTGGAGATGATATTTGGTAAAATGTCATGCCTCTGATATGATCAGGTTGCATTACAGGTCAGTTACATTTATATATTTTCTGGCACTGATGGGCAGTGCAATGAGCTGAAAGCTATTTTATAATGTTAATATGGCAAACATTTTAGCTAAATATTTATTGGTTGGATTCATACTGTACATCAGACACAGAACTACATAGACCTCTGTTAGAAGTCATGTTTCTGACCACATTTCCATTTTCACCGGCTCCTAAATAAAACAGCTGACCCTTCCCTTGCTAAATGCTCAACTAGTTTCACTATCTAGTAGCAAGCAGTGGAAGTAGGTAGTGTATAATGGATTCATCAGAGCATTTACAGTGAAGACAGCTGCCTGTTGTGGCTAGAAATGAGGCTGAGGAGAGCAGTGAGACTGGCCTAAAACAGCTGTGGGCAGGGAAACAAATATTAAGTTGAAGGCCCTAAAACGCTCTGCAGAGCTGAAGGGAAATGCAGTGGTGAGTGATAATGCTATGGCTTTGTCACTACAAATAACTCCTTTTGGAATTAGATGTAGCAGTTTATCCACTGCTATTAATCAGTGAAGGATTGAAAATATTAAACTCACCTTGTGGAATGTTTTTCAGCTCGCTGTATATTGTGTCTGTGCCTTTTCTCAGGGGGACTGGCAATGTAAAAAACAACACATTAGCCTGCTTGAAGATCAAAATACAAAGCCTAGTAGATACTGTCTGTTTGACCTCTCATTAACAGAAAGGTAGGCTGTGCCACATGCTGTAACTGCCATCTCCAGCCCACTGGGATCGCAAGCACAGGACCACAAAGAAGACAGAGCCAATATGCAAAAGCAGCCAGTGCAATGGTTCTGGAAATTCCTGCAGATATCGCAGCAGTTATTGCGATGTGAAGATGTATTAATTATGGGTAATCAGGCTCCTCCCAGGAAGTGCTGCTCTGTCTTATCAACTAGAAAGGAATGTGGGGGAAGCAGAGCAAAAGTGTTTTGGTGAGGAGATTTGGAACACAGGGGGGACATTGTGCTAAATGGTTTGAAATAGAGTGACAGAAATAATCATTTAACATTTGGAGGGTGAAAAATAAAAGCAGAACAAGGTTGTGTGTATGCTCACCTCTGGCAGGATCCACAGGTTGGGGGTGCACCACCTCTGTGTACTCCACATCAGGCTCACTGGACACTACACTGCTGACCTCGTCACTGGCTGCATCAAGTACATGAACAGAATTCTCTGTAAGGTTTGCCAAACCCTCTGTATGGTGTCATATTATTTTAATGAAGACAATAAGCATTGCAGTTCATTACTGATATTAGAAATAGATGTCTGATTTTAAAAAGGGGTCCCACCTCAAGGTCTTTTCTGCAGTGTAGGAAAGTACATTTACTCAAGTATTGTACTTAGGTACAGCTTTGAGGTATCTGTATTTTACTTGAGTATTTTCATTCTCTGCTACTTCATAGGCGAATATTGTACTTTTTACTGCACTTCATTTATCTCATACCTTTAGTTACTTTTCAGAATATAACACACACTGTAATCATAAGACTTTAGTGATTCCTGGTGAGAAATGCAAGTTGTTCAAATTATAAGCATATAAGGTGGCTAAAATTAGTTCCACCTTTACCAGCTGCAGCGTTAACCATCATGTACACATTTAAACATCAGTAGGTTTATAATCCAATAATATGATAAACATTAATGTGAAATGTGCCATTCTGCATAATAGATACAGTGCCTTGCGAAAGTATTCGGCCCCCTTGAACTTTGCGACCTTTTGCCACATTTCAGGCTTCAAACATAAAGATATAAAACTGTAATTTTTTGTGAAGAATCAACAACAAGTGGGACACAATCATGAAGTGGAACGAAATTTATTGGATATTTCAAACTTTTTTAACAAATAAAAAACTGAAAAATTGGGCGTGCAAAATTATTCAACCCCCTTAAGTTAATACGTTGTAGCGCCACCTTTTGCTGCGATTACAGCTGTAAATCGCTTGGGGTATGTCTCTATCAGTTTTGCACATCGAGAGACTGAAATTTTTGCCCATGCCTCCTTGCAAAACAGCTCGAGCTCAGTGAGGTTGGATGGAGAGCATTTGTGAACAGCAGTTTTCAGTTCTTTCCACAGATTCTCGAAGACTGATCAGAGATGCAGCCAAGAGGCCCATGATCACTCTGGATGAACTGCAGAGATCTACAGCTGAGGTGGGAGACTCTGTCCATAGGACAACAATCAGTCGTATACTGCACAAATCTGGCCTTTATGGAAGAGTGGCAAGAAGAAAGCCATTTCTTAAAGATATCCATAAAAAGTGTCGTTTAAAGTTTGCCACAAGCCACCTGGGAGACACACCAAACATGTGGAAGAAGGTGCTCTGGTCAGATGAAACCAAAATCGAACTTTTTGGCAACAATGCAAAACGTTATGTTTGGCGTAAAAGCAACACAGCTCATCACCCTGAACACACCATCCCCACTGTCAAACATGGTGGTGGCAGCATCATGGTTTGGGCCTGCTTTTCTTCAGCAGGGACAGGGAAGATGGTTAAAATTGATGGGAAGATGGATGGAGCCAAATACAGGACCATTTTGGAAGGAAACCTGATGGAGTCTGCAAAAGACCTGAGACTGGGACGGAGATTTGTCTTCCAACAAGACAATGATCCAAAACATAAAGCAAAATCTACAATGGAATGGTTCACAAATAAACATATCCAGGTGTTAGAATGGCCAAGTCAAAGTCCAGACCTGAATCCAATCGAGAATCTGTGGAAAGAACTGAAAACTGCTGTTCACAAACGCTCTCTATCCAACCTCACTGAGCTCGAGCTGTTTTGCAAGGAGGAATGGGCAAAAATTTCCGTCTCTCGATGTGCAAAACTGATAGAGACATACCCCAAGTGACTTACAGCTGTAATCGCAGCAAAAGGTGGCGCTACAAAGTATTAACTTAAGGGGGCTGAATAATTTTGCACGCCCAATTTTTCAGTTTTTTTATTTGTTAAAAAAGTTTGACATATCCAATAAATTTCGTTCCACTTCATGATTGTGTCCCACTTGTTGTTGATTCTTCACAAAAAATTACAGTTTTATATCTTTATGTTTGAAGCCTGAAATGTGGCAAAAGGTCGCAAAGTTCAAGGGGGCCGAATACTTTCGCAAGGCACTGTACTTTTACTTTTGGTATTTAAAGTATATTTGAATGCTAATACTTTTGTACTTTGACTTAAGTAACATTCTGAATGCAGGACTTTTACTTGTAACAGAGTATTCTTACACTGTGGTATTGCTACTTTACTTAAGTAAAGAATCTGACTACTTCTTCCACCACAGCTTTTCTATGACCATGAGCTACAGACCTTAAGTTGCTTGTTTTGCCAAACTAACATGTCCAAGCTCAGGAATGAACCTTTGTTCTTACACTTTTAAGGCAAAAGGGGTGAGAAGTCCAAAAATGTGCTAATAATGAAATAATTACAGCTGTCAGCAGATCAATCTTCATGACAACTGAACAAACTCCATCCACTGATGAAGACTGTGTAGGACCTTTAAAAGCTCTGGAACACAGTCGCTACCCTGAGCTGGAATAGTTTTGTGAAGTTTTCTTGTCTGTGTTTTTTAACAGAGGTTTTAATGATACCTGACCACTATTCAGCAAAAGTTACATAGGCTCGCTTTAAAAATTAACTTGGCACCAACTGAGAGATAATAAAAATAAAGATCTTGCTGAAATTTATAGTGAGCGCTATAAACTGTGTATACACACATACCACGTTTGGAAGCTTTTCTAGCCAGGTATTAACTATAATTTAATAGATTCTGTGTAATTATGGGAACAGTAGGTTACTGTACAGATGATGCTGTTATTATTGTGCCTGACCAAGAAGGGCTGTAGAAGGAACCCCCTGAATGTACTGAACTGAGCAAAGCTGCCTTTTTATAGCCCTCCACTTCGGATGTCA